GACGTTTAGATCATGCCAATTTATATATACCATCGAATTTACAAATTCATCTGTTGCTTGGTTCGCCAGAAACGTCTAATAAACGCTCATCGTGAAAAACCCTGTATAGAACTCCGAAGACAATTCACCAAGAAAAATATTATCCACTTTTATGTTCGAAACGAGAGCAGATTCGTTCCCAAAACGTCCATGGACAAGTGAAAATTTGATATTTTTTTTTTCAATATTTCTCTTCTTCAAACATTATTCAAAGCGAGGTGACACTGCCTATCTATAGAATTTTTCATAATAGTGACATTTTTAAACGCAGTGACATTTTGGGACAAATCATTTGATATGTACTAACTATACACATAGGTAAATTGAAATAATATTCATAATTTCAGGTTTTAAAAACGAGGAGAGAAAATCCAAAAAAAATCTGAAAAAATTAATGTAAGTAATTCCTATTACTTTACGTTTGCTCATCATATAATATACAAATTTTGACGAAATGTCTAGTAACCTTCTCCAACGTATTGAAGAATCCTAATTCAACAAACATGATTTCTGAAATCATTCCAAAACTTGTAAGTAGTTGACGTAACAAAAAACAAAATTTTTCATCATCGACAATTATTTATTTGGCTACTGGATTCGGTATCACTCAGCAGTTTGACCATAAAGTATAACCCCTCCCTCCCTCTATACCAGGTGTAACAGGATGGTACCCCCCTTTTTCTCCTTCAGTTTTAAAGATAAGTGATTGAAATTTGGAATGACCAATCAACATGAAAAACGTCATGTTTTTACATGAATATGTTTTATTTTCCACTTCCGGTTTCACCGGAAGTAATGATAACTTTTGATTTTCAAAAGGAACACCTTGTATATTATTGCATTCTCGAATTCTGCAATATTTTCTGAATCCAATGACACCACATAACTGACATTTCAAACTTCAATATTGGTTATAATTTCATTTTCGATTTTCCATCTGAGTGTGCCATGACTATTCTGATGGAGTCTGATGAACTCATATCGACAGGTGTATTGCTAAAAAAAATGAAACCTGTCAAAAATGAAAATTTCTTGATTTATCAGCAAATTAAGTTCATCAAAATGGTTCGGTGTACCATAATTCTGTTACACCCGGTATAAGTAGTTAACTTTTGAACTGCTGGCAATTTTTTTCTATATTTTTTGCTGCAATGGTAGTTCAACTCTCTATTGGCATCTAGAAAAGTTCCCTGCTAGAAAAAAGTCGAAAGGAAACCATTGTTCTTGATTTTGAATAGATGTTTTACCCAAATTTGCTGCGACTGGAATAATTGAAAGACATTCGGAATAAGCTATCATTGACGATCACAAACGGAGATGGAATTTACTTTATATCTTTTGAATGATTTGATGTGATGTAAACAGTCATTGAGATGACGAGGCAAAAATAAACCTTTGTTATGACTTGATGAAAGAAAATGGCTTCTCGTATACCGATAAAGATTTCGATCAAGTATCTTCGTCTGCATAAGACTGTCAGAAGTCAGTCGTATGTGACTCCTAAGTTGAGCCAATATTTATTATATGAAGAGTCAACTTACTCCTATACCGGAAATAATTTAAGCTTTGGGGCTTCGAATGAACTTTCATAGACAGGGCGACAGAATAACAGAATCCACATAGTTCTTTAGAATACTGTTCAGCAACCAAACATACGGTGATGCTTTCAGATTCCATCCAGAGGCGAGCCATTCACCTTTGGTAGTGATGCCACACTCACAAATTCTTAGACATCATCAAAATACCGTAGGAATTTCGAGTCCTACCATTTAGTCGTCAACATCGAGATATGTCCAAACTCTTGACCAAAACTCGTTCTAGAAGGGCAAAGCTTTGGAATTTTTTGTCAAAGAAGGTGTTACAAGACTTTTTTGAAAACATTCCAATACCTTCCTATCTTCTCTCCCTATACCCCTTTATAAAGGAACTCTTAGTTCCAGAGAAATCAGAATATTTCCGTATTCTTCGAAATTGACTAAATTTTTGCCGTAATCTTGCAACAGAACTTGCTCTTTGATCCATCAAGTCATTAATGATATATGTTGCTAACTATGTATATGAGTCTAAATTCCGTATCATCAGTATATTTTGTAGATTGTCCATTTTTTATTGTTCGTACTAATCAAAGGTCGTGGTGAGAACATAATATCGCAATATTATTCAATTATAAGGCCAGAGCAACAATCTCTTTTATTTCGAGTTTACGATATAAACATTAAAAAGAAGAGAGTAGATATATCTATTTTTTTTAATTGACTCAGCCGTTACTTGATGGAAATCCATAATGCTATAATTGTAAAAAACTTCACAAACGATAAGATTTCTTCATCAGGTGCTATACTGTGTTAGCAAAACATGTTGTGTGATTAGGAATTTTGTGTAAATCTTAAATCGTTTGTGAAGTTTCTTACATTTAGATATATCTAGTTTTTTATCTCAAGCAGTGAAGCAAACACAAGCATATATTGGTGTCTTCTTATATAACGACCCCTGCCTACAGCTTCAACTATACGAGGTGGAAAAAAAATCAGATATCAAAGTTGTAGTTTTATCTTTATCTTTTGGCATTTCTTAAACAAACAGATGCAAATCGCAAAATGAAAAAAAAAGTCCAATTCAGTTTTTTAAAATGGAACACCCTGTATATTATATATATGTATATAGTTTGCTAATGTTCCCTTAAGCCGTTTTTGACCAAATTCTTGCTGTACTACTTAAATTGTTACATTATAAAAAATACAATATATAAGATACTTAAATTAAAATCTTACTATTTCGTATTTTTCCCCAACGAAATATCCCATACTTTTGATTATAGAAACAGAAACCGAAAGAGATGTCAAAAAACGCCTGTTTTGTTGCCATGGCATTCTGTAATATTCTGTTGTGTCCACGGCTATATAAATTGATGTTATATTGGCTATTTTGATTCAATATTGTAAAATCTAAATAGGTGAAAAACAGATTAGCAAACTATATAATATATTTGTATGGTGTACAACGTACACTTTACAGTGTACACCATATTATATCTGCACATTCTAGATTTATCCAACTATAGCTATAAAAGAAAATTGTATCAACCCAAATTGGTTTCCTATAAAGATCCTTCCGTTCCTTGGCGCAACCATAAAAATATAATGATTCCAAATCGTATACGATATCGAAGTTATAAAATTGTCATTGTGGGTATTGTCAAGTATATTGTGAGTGGGTCATATACAGGGTGTCCAAAAACTCAACGTAATCCTTTGGAGGGCTGATAGTCCAGCTCATGACTGACCAGAATATCACAATATGACCTCAGTAAAAATATTGATAGTTTTGGGGATAATATTTGCACTTTTATGAATTTCGAGACCTTTTATCAGTATTTCTAGTGCCGCAGGTACAAAACTTCATAATTAATGATTCTAATTTTTGTTATGCAATCTGTAAAAACCCTTCTATTGATAACAATCCAAAATAAAATGCATTCAAAATAAAAATATCGGTGCAATGCCAGTCCGAGTAAGCTAATTGAAATTGAATTAACTCGTGAATCATGCAATTTTTTTTTCTCCAAAGGTATTGCACAAATATTTTTATTATCATTATTTTTGTTATCAATGGAATAAGGATTATCACAGGTTGCAACAAAAATTAGAATCTTGAACTGTGAAGTTTTGTACCTGCGGTACTACAAATACTGATCAAAAGTTTCGAATTTCACGGAATTCAAAAAAGTGCTAATATCTCCAAAACTATCAATATTTTACCCTCGATTTTACCAAAGTCATTTTGTGATATTCTGGTGAGTCATGAACTGGACACCCTGTACATAAACACAGATGAAACCCATCCCTGTTGATCATTAATACGAATTGTCTCTGCAAAGCAGTACGAAATAACCGTGATATATTCTAGCGGTTAATGGCCCTAGAGAGGGCATTATCGTTAACTTAGTTCCTTCTCTCTCCTAACGACCTTGCGGAAAGTTCCGGGTAAAATGTGTCTGATCGTTCTCGAATCTAATGAAATCGCGATCTCTGGAAATACTCACAGAAGTTAATCAAATTCAAGTTGGAGTGGCAACAACTCAACGTCAAGTTTTTGATTAGCGAACATTTCAGCAGTTTTCGGGGTCCCTCAAGGTTCCCTGATGGGCCCACTTCAATTGTATCATCAATAACACCGATGGTAGGTAATCCATGCGTTGTAGATGAAAACAATTTACTTTATGAGCTTTTGATCGCGAAAAATCCAATATATTGACATCATATATCAATGACTTGACAGTCTTGACATGATAAAAATGACAAGGCAATGTCAAAAATATACAGGGTTTTCCAGAATAACGTTCGTATACTCCGGAAAGTGATTCTGCAGATGAAACTATAGAAAATTGTTTCTATCAACATGTGTCCCAAAATGCTTCCTTCTTTTTTCATATGAAAGTGTTTGGAGAATAATATTTTAGTAGAAGAAATGAGATGAATCATGAAACATTTTTATTGGTTACCCTTCTGGGACTTGACTTTTGGTTTTATAAGTGCGCGTTCTTAGGGCACGGGGTTCTTCATTTTTGATTGAAACCCGTTTTTTCTCAACCTCCTTTATTTATTACCATAATCACGATATTATGATGATAGACATCGGCATCCCCTGATTGATCAGTAAAGTAGTGGAGATGACTTTGAGCTTTCCTTCCTCCTTTTGACTCTACTGTAAGTTCAGGGTTACCAATCAGTGCATGACACACGATGCCAATTATTGGCAACATCGCTACATTGGGAACTCACCTTCAGGTCTTTGGCTTCAGTCTCCAAGCTCCAACGAAATTTTTCCCCAAGCCACGAGCAAAGACGAGAAATGCAAACAACTTTGTAAAGAACGGCCGGCAGACTGAACACTTTCTTTTTTATTGCGATTTGCACCACCTGACCTCCACACATCCATACCACTCTCACACGAAAACTCACCCTTATGTCGATATCCTTGCCCTTCTCCATATAGTGCATGATAGCCGCCGAGATCTTCGTGTCGAGGTTCCTTATCACAGCGTCAGCGTTCACCCCTGCCTCGTTTCCACCCCGCTTCACGGCGCTCAACAGGCTCTCGATACCCTCCACGTACCTATTCAAAATACATTTATTTATCAACTTGAAAATGTTCAACATGTACGTGTGTATATACCGTGTGCTCCACTCCAGACTATCCACCTTCTTTGACAAATGAAAAGAAAAAACAACGGAATACGTCGGTTTTTGATTGGAGGAGGAGACCGTTTGAAACAAAGAACATAATGCAATGGTCTACTTCCCAGAGCAACCCCTCTGAAATTTAATTAGGGAATAGGGGTCATGTTATACACCATTCCAACCCTTAACCACTGAAGGTTTGTTAATCTGTGCCACTGAGGTGGAGTCTCTCAGACTCCGCGACACCATCAACTCTTAACACCACCCCCATTCTTGAATCCCTCACTTCACCGCTTCTAGTACCTTCTGACCTTGGGTCAATCTAGTCGTGGACGTTAAAATTTGTATCAAGTACTTCCAAATTCCAAAAGCATCAATACTACTAAAGCAGAACTTAGATTGTAATTATTTCAATTTTCATACCTAAATTATCCCCATTTGATAGTCGGACTGTGTAAGACTCCACCTCAGTAGTTGAAGGACAATAATTTATTTACCTCAGTGGTTACCGCTTGAAATGTAGTTCGACTCTGACATTAACAGTGCAAAGTTTTTCGAATTGCAACAAGCCGTTCCCAATATATTCGAGTTCGAGTTCAAATGGTATGTTTTTGAATTGTTAGTTAATTAAATAGTGAATAAGTATTCAGAACAAATGTTCAAAATAACCTCCACTGAATCACAGACAGTAGTAGAGTCTGTATTTGCAAATTCATCTTGCATATTTGACAATGTTTCTTTTGTTATTGCCTGGCGTTCAATCCATATTCTTCTTTCCAAACCGTGCAGATCAGTAGGTTCTGCTGATAACAGATCCTAAATGACCCAAAGAGAAAATGCGTTGGGTACCATGTCCGGTGAGCGGGCAACTTGTTCAAAATATGTATTACCGATGTGCCAATATATTTGGATATTGAGAGAATGGCTATCCCGAAAATTCTTCAACAATTGAAAAGGTCGTAGAGGACCAATAGAATGGCCAGCACGCTCACCGGAATTTGGTACCCAACGATTTTTGTCTTTGGGTCATTTAGAATATGTTATTTACAGAACCAGGGAATAGCAAGGGTAACAATTTCAAATGTGCAAAAGCAGTTGCAAATCGAATCAAGCACTATTCGGGATTCAATAAAGGCTCCAATGAAGGCTCGAATATAGGTCCTTTTGAACACAATTAATTGGAAATTATACCATTCGAAGTCGAATATATCGAGCTCGATCTCGAGAACGGCTTGTTGCAATTCGAAAAACTTTGCACTGCTAGTGTCAGCATTAAATCTCCTTTGCAATGCTGTATAAAATGGCCCTTGTTATTCCCTATTAAAATTATTGGAGAAATTGCTCTGTGTAGCCGATGGTTGAAATATGCATTATCTTCATTGTGTCAAACAGTGTCCTACTCCAAACAAAAACCGACGTGTATCGTTGTTTTTCGTAAAATCACTTTTCTGCGAGTCATTGAGGCTGGATAGTCTCAAGTGGACCACCCGGTATAAAAACCTAATATAACATGTGAATATAACAGCAACATATAAATCATTATGGCACAAATACACACACGTACCCGTTCCAAGGCAGATCTAGCTCGGCCACGTACTTCGACAGACAGCCCCTCAGCACGTTGAGGCAGTAGCCCGAACAGGGCTTCGCGTGTTTATGACCACCCGAGCATTTGGGGCAGTAAGTCATCTTGACCAGAGCGCCGTGGCACTCGGAGTTGCTCGAACCGTTTTCTTCGATGAGCAGAGAGTCGGTGGTGTTGAGGACCTAGGTACGGATATATGGGTATAGTCTTTCCAAAGTCAGTTGAAACAATTTTTTTTCTACAAAAGTCAGTAAAAGAATAATAATTGTTAATGCATGCTGTCGGTGTCTAAAATGCCACTTTATGACACTGGTGTTAAAATTAAAATACTTTTAACACTAGTGCTAAAATTGATTTATTTTTATGACTATTCCACTCTAGATCTCGGGAACCAATCAGAATCGACCATTTTCACGGTTTCTTCTGTATTCTAGCGATATTTTTTGTTTATTAAATTTTATCGGATTTGCTCTGCCAATACAGAAGCCGAATTGACCCACACGTGACCAACAAACCTCGTTTATCAGCGATAAAATTTTGACATCGTGTCTGGTCAAGTTTGCTTTGTATTCAAATCTGACACAAGAGACAATAACCTAAGTACCTACTTCATTTTATTTACTTATAATTCGCGTTAGTGAGACATTTTGTACGAAAGGCGAGACAATTTCATTCTGGCTGGACGTTTCATGTGTAATTTAATAAGTTTGCATATTTGTTGACGGTCTGACAACAATACTAGAATTCAAATTCCCATTTGAAGTAATCTTTTTCAGTCACTCAAGTTATTGTGACTAATAAAATCAAGGTGATGTGGCTCAACTGATAGAGTTGTTGCGCGGTGATACGAAGGTCGGTGGTTCAAGCCCGTCGGCGACAATAATTTTTTATTTAAATTATTTCATGTCCCATAAATTCAATTTATTTTGTTCGAATTGGATAGCAAATGTATACACTCTTTTGAGAGCAACCATCTCCAAGATAATAAACAAAATACTGTTCATCAAAATTGTACATTCCACTTTGTGAATTACTATAAGTAGGTGGTTAATTTCTAAAAAATTGAATTCTGTATTTCATTACTATCATTATGTTCTTCTTCGCAGTTTGAGTTGGAATATACCTAAATTATGTTTCCTATTTCTTATATATCGATGGTTAAACTACAAAACCTCATAAGTCGATTTTAGTAAATTTTACAGGAGACGTGAAAAACAGTTCAACTCTTTAGTTGAGAAATATGAGGAAGTTTTCCAATAAAAATAATATGAACTGTTCAAGCATATTCTGGTGATATACGTACTTTATTGAAATTTTTGATAATAGAAAAAAAAATCTACTTACGAGTTTTTGACTTATGATTGTGAAACTTTTTGGAAATACTTATGAGGTTTTGTAACAATGTAATAATTATAACAAACAAGAATTGAATTGTAGAAAATGATAATGGAATAGGTTGGTTTGATAAATGGAATAACATACTTTACGGAACGTCTTCATTCAGAAATTACGAGAAAATACAAATTCCTATTATTTTAATTTTATTGAACGGACATTACTTCTTAAATGATATTAAACTGATACAATTCCAACTCTTCTGTTTGGCCAAAGATTTGGATACTCCTGTTGCATAGGTACCTGTTGATGAAATCTATAACAACTGATGTTAATTCATTAGAAGTGACACCACCAGCAGGCCTCATTGAGGTAGAATCTGTATGCAACATGTTTTCGTTTTTTATGTTTAACAAGAAAAATGGAATCTAATGAAAAGGGAAAGAGATGAGGATCGATTTTATTGCCTGTCCGATGGCTTTTTGGAGTAGCTGTTCCTACAAGTCGGCTTATGTAGACTCTTTTCTCACTCACAAAAATATTGTTTTGATGTTGTAGATAGCTAACATTCGCAAGCAGGACCCACTTTTCTTCCTGTCCTTTGGATTTCAATATACGTTTTTTCTGCCTTTAAACGTTGAAATGACACATAATTTTCGCCTTTTATTCTCTTTTGTTTTTTTATTTCTTCAACTATTTGAAGGATTCACAAATTCTGCTTTCAATCTGATTCTCTTTCTACCTCTTGGTGTTTCTAATTCGTCATTTCTTAGATTTGCTTGTATTACTCCTTGAGCGTCTTTTTCTCAAATTTTTTAGATTCTCTCTTTTCAGAATGGTTTGATGGTTCAAATTCAGATCTACTGTCTTGGAAAGGTTCACTTATATCAGTCTGCACATCATCACCAGTGCTTTTTTTCCAAATCAAAATTCATTTAATGCTTGACATCTTTTTTTTTACGTTCTGGTCCTCACGAAAAGGAATATCCTGTAACGTTCAGAGAACATCGTGAGAACCAAGGAAAATCAGGTAGGAATTGGTGTTCTTCTTGAATTTCTGGAGGTTATATGCCTCGGAGAACACCTCCCTTGGCAAAGTGTTCCAGAGCCTCGCTGTTCGTTGGATAAACGAGTCTTTGGAAACAAATGTTCTGCAGGTCTCCAAATAACTCAGGCCCCAAATCATCCTCCAAATCAGGATCTATATCAGGCTCCACATTCAATATGTTCGAATCATCCCTGATATAAGATTAGTATCATCTTGTATATTTTTTCAAAATCATTCATGATATCAGGGCTTTGAGCAGGGCTCGTATCACTGGAGAATAGAAAGTAAAGTGAAGTCATACCTTCAGAATGACAAGTAATAGGAATAAAAAATTTGTAAATTTTTCGGTTATTCAATAATTATCTGTAACCATTGAGTATTGGTGTATACTTACACTTAATCACGGCTGTAACTTACGATTTTCGGTAATTTTGTAGTATTCTCAATAGTTCCTGGGCACCGGTTCACAATCATTTTTCCAGCAGTAAGGACATCATTATTCATATTCGACATTGTGAAAGACGAACATCGAGAAACGAAGTCAAAACATGATAATTAAGACGTTAAATACACCCTATATATCTGACATCAAAACCTCGTAAGTCGTGTATCATCGCGTGAACAATACCAAATTTATATAATCAAAACATAAAGTCAATGTAATCATAACCTCGTAAGTCGACTTGAGAGGTTCCTGGATTTACTGCCTGGCAAATTAGTTTTACGAGGTTTTGATAGATGACGCTATGTGTCTCTAAAATTGATAATGGACTTACGAGCTTTTGCAGGCTGAAAGATTATGAGTTTTTGTAATGTTTTCCGCATAAAACGTTGAATGGGAAAAAAATCGACTTACGAGGTTTTGCACCTTAACCATCGATATATTGTCTCATTCAATCATGAAATAGTCATACGAATACAACTCGTGATACTATTTTTCCTGGAAATATTCGTCGATTGACATACTCCAGCTTGCTGCTCTAATTTCGCTCATGACATTGATCCAAAACTTCACGAAATTACTAGGCAACAAGCTGTCGTAACAATCACCGAATATTTCCGGCAAAATATTATCATATGAGAAAATATGAAACGACTATTATAATAAGGAATCCCATGACCAGTCTCATTGCTAGATGTAACAGAATTTATTTTGGGGAAGCTTGTACAACCAGGGCAGGCAGCATTGTGATTTCTGTCGTCTCACAAAATGAAATATGACTCTCAACACTTATATCATAAATAACTAATAACTGGTCACGTGTCGGCAAATCCTTTGTGAATCTGTAGCCACCAGCGAATAGAAGCTGTTTTTAAAAGGATCTTAGATTGTTCATACGTGATTGGTCGCTACACGACTTTCCTTCATTTCACATAGATACCTAACGATTTTTAATCATAATTCGGATATTATTTCAACATATGAATTCCATACATAATTCAACGAATGACTTTTTTCAAAGCATCGTCAAGCTTCATCAAGTTTTTGTCTAACGCTTCTTACGATTCTAATAACACTGAAAATGGATTTTAGTCAATTACTGAATTATCTTCACAAGTTGGGTTTCCGAAGAACCATTATTCTTGTAATTGAGACACGAATAAATGTTCAAAATCACCTTTTGAGTTTGAAAGTGTAAGTCTTCAAGGGCGAACTCCGCAAACTCTAGTCCCGAATCGCTATCACTAACCTCGGAAGGTTTAAGATTGAAATTATGAATTTTCTGAATTTCCAATAGTACTAGTAATTCGTAGAAAACCATGCTCCGATGCATTATCGTAACGCACTTCCTCAAAAAGTCTGAACACACGCCCTGTATAAAACTCTGACCAATCAACATTCAGTATAATTGGGGTAAACCAATGAGATGCAGACACCCTGTCCAAGACATAAGGAAGATACGTACAAACTGAGCTCAAACTCGCATAGGTATACTACTGACTCCGTTTCTGAATTGAACAATTGTTGCACTTCTATTCGCTTTCGAATAGGACACCAACAAATAAATACCATTCTCAGATGTTTTTGTAATTGAAAATAGCAGAAAATAAGGAAGAATTTGATGATTTTAAAGAAAATTCATGAAGCAAAGCAGTAGCTTCACCAATTTCAAAAAAGTGGTCGACATACCTCGGAGCCTATCCTGAAGGCTTGCAGCAGCAGCCGGGTGGCCTCCAAGCTCTTAGACAACGACTGAGCCACCTGCTTCGGTATATCGCCGAACGGAGATATGATTTCGATCGACTTCCTGAGACACTCCTTGTAATCGCGAGCGAAGTCCTTGTCGGATATGTCTGCGGAATGGTGGTAGGCCAGAGGGAAGAGTTCGGTGAAGAACAACGTGACGCTGGCGACAATCTCCTCGGGAGTGAGCGACGAGTCGATTTTGACGTAGTCGAGCACCACTTGGTAGAGCTTCTCTATGGGCTGTCGAGAGAGGACGGACATGCCGCGATACACTTGAGAGAAGAGCAGGAGGGTCTTGTTCTCGGACTGCCGCGCCAGCTCCGACATGTGATCTGCAACGAAAAAGAAAAACCCGATTTTAACTACTAAATCCTGGTGATTGAAGTCTTCTCCTCACTTATATGAGCCGTATAAAGTGCCTCTCATCTACTAGTGAAAGCATCTATGAAAAAGTGAAAGGTTGCCGACTTTTCTAATATGTTTTGAGTATTAGTGAGTGTGTTATCACCCACCAAGCGGATGGATATTCTCTTCTGAAACTATTTCTAAATTTCACCTATTTGGAAGTTCAAACCCCAGAAACGGACAAATCTGAATAATTCAAGTATTTGTGACTTTCAAAGCTTTGACCTGATTGTAAATTCCAAAGACCTTAAACATGTTCATACCTTTGCTTATGATGTGATATTTAGATGAATTGCCTATCTTTTTTGGAATTTTGGATGTTTATCTGATCATAACTTTTTCGCTTTTGAATATTTTCATTCATTCAGTAGCATGAGCATGGGTAGCCATTCTTTTCCTGTGTGCCCATTTGGGGTGAACAAGTATTTTTCCCCGTTTTTATGAGTTTGAGATTGACTTGTGCTTTCGAGGCTAAGTCCAGCAGATTCTCGTCGCCATGACAAGGATGAGTCCAACCAATCAGAATCAAGGATGCGGCTGTCCTGTGGATTGTAAATACTCAAGACTGGCTGATGAAGCTGTCTTTGCACCGCTCTACCATAACCTCCCCTGATTGGTCCAGTATTAAGTATTGTTAAGTGATTTTTGTGTAGGACATTATTGGTAGATATTTGTTACAATTCGACTCTATAGTTTCATTTCTTTATTGTTACTCTCCTTATACTCGATATTTAACTGACCTTTGGATGAACGTAGGAAGGATACCGATGAATATTGCGAGTAGATATTGAGAATACAGTATTCATTAATATGTTTTGAAATATTTAATCCTTATGAATATCGCACATGAAAGCACTGAACAATAATTGAAGTGGTACAGGCATCTTAATCATATCGTATCGACCGCCATAGCTGACAGTTTTGATTGGTCAAAAAATGTGTCCTTACTGAAAGTCATGGTTATTTGAATTCTTGGTCTACACACATGACAGTGACAGCACACGTATGATTTGTGTTGTGACATTTTCATTAGAATTGATGATAATCAGATTATTCAAAACATTTTTCATACTTCAAAAGTATCTTTCAGCTGTAATGAGGTTGGTGGTTTCAACTATATTTAGCTTTGTACCTGTGTGTATATTGCATAATATCATTGACACTATTGACAGTTTTTTCTACCTAGGTAAATCAATTCATCATTATTCAACTGTAGTTTTGATAAGTGTTACTTCTCATTAGAGGAAATCCTCGAATAATGGTGATTTCTCAGGTAGTAGAGGAAAAAAGTTTTTCATCAATGAGGTACTTTGTATGTCATCAATTTTATTTCCGTATCTGATATCACAATGACTCCATTGTGTTGTAATTTAAAAAAAAAAACTTATCGCCCATGGAACGTCAAATTTCAAGTAATGGAAGCTCTGTCTGATAGATGAGCATTACTTGACAGGAAATCAGATGGCTACAAGACGAAGAAATCGAACATGCCGCTGTTATCTATTATACCCGTAGAAAAATTATAGTGTATAACTTGTGTAGCACGAAATGCTAATTCTAATTTCCTACTCGCATGATTGCCGTATTCGCCTATGGCTCATGCTGCAAACTTCATTCTCGTAGAAAATCACTATCATTCTGTGCTCGTCAAACAATATACTATTTTGTGATTGCATATTAGTTTTTTATATATTTTCATTATTTTCAATATTTTCATTCGTAAATCATTTGTTTATTACATTGTTGACATTTCTAATTATTCCTGCCTTGAAAACTAGTTGTCATTTGTCTAAAAAATTATGCATCGAGCTTCGCTCTGGTGTATAAATACCTAAAAAACGTTTTGACGCATGCGCGGATCTCTCGTGACGTTAGCGACAGAATAGTGTCGTGGTGGGGGTGATCTATACCGACGCTCTTCCTACTTGCGATCAGAGCGGTAGACGGATCAATGCAGTATTTAATGACTTGAAATACCGTGGAATTCAACGGACGGACAATAATTTGTCATAGTAAACTACTTTGGGATAGCACTTTTAATTGATGAATTGAAAATTTCATTGGTCAAGGCAAATTAATCGCTTCTAAAGTCGAGCCGAGCGAGTCGTTCCGAACATAAATTATTCCTGCTGTGGTGGTATGTATACAAATGCAAACAAACTTTATTTTAAGCTGGATTTTATTCCGCCCAGGTAAACACGACATTTGTAACGAGCCATAGTCGTTTGTCGGTCTTGGCTAGATGGTTTTCGGGGACTATTAAAGTGCTGCTGCTCTGTTGGCAACGAAACGAAATGAAAAAAAAAACAGGGAAGAAGAATGTGCGATATGCCGTTACGACTGCAATCGTTTGTCGTGGGAGGAAAATGCAATGTCTAACGTACAGGGTGGACCAAATTGGAAACTTTTAAAGGGAAAGTCTTATTCCCGTACGAGGTAGAAAAAAAACTTTAGTTTTTGAGGAAACAATAAAAATTAGATTCGACTTCAAATTTCCAAATTTTAATGTAGGTGTTTTCATGACTTCCATTGAGATAACTCAATAACCCCAATTAGAATCATTTTGAAATTTTGGGGCACTCGCAGTCTCCATCCATATACTGAATTTTGGCACCATGAAAGGTTATGAATAAAAACAATAATTAATACTTCCAACTTCAATATCCCGTATCTCAAAAACGGAGCTGTTTATATGAACTTTATTTGCTAGAATGTCACAAGGAATCACTCCTTGAATTTTTTCGGTGCTATTTAGATACACCCTGTATATATCCACGTATATTTGAAATTATACAAGGTAGCTTAACTTAATTGAATGTTCGGTTTGGTTTAAAATCATACGAAGAAGATAATCATCATAATCGTATATCTAACCTAGTATCTTACAGTTATTATTTCAGGATTCCACAAATAGTGATGATATATTATGGCAAATAGAATACGAATGTTTCACTACAGTTAATGATCTAGATAATATTCGAAAAAAAAAAGAAGATATTTGATCGGAAAATTATCATTTTCAATTGTTTGAACTCCGCTCCTATACGAATGAATATAAAATAAGACTTCTGGTGCCGGTGGTGCTGTCAAACTTCCTTATTGGAACATTTGAATATCGAATAGGAGATCGCCTCTGAAAACCCGAACACCAATTAAATTATGTTTTTTGAACACTTTGTGAAGATTAATGAGTCGCGATTAGCAAGTGCCCACACACCAAGAGGACTCGCATCTGAATATGAGATAATCAATTGGACGCAATCGCTATACAGTCATCGTTAAAATCGATTCCTGTAAAATCTTTTCCAATCGACTACTTCAACAAGGAGAAACACATGGACAAAAGTTAGGCTTTTTTTTTATTTTTAAGCGGCAATGATAACAGAGCTATTATAGGTGTTCAAAATCGAGATTTTTTAACATTAGCATTTTTTCGTGTTGAAACTATTCATTATTGGTCAAAACGGCTCTTATACTTCTATATCACAACTTTTGATTTACTATCTACTGACATTTGATATGAACAGATACAGGGTAATCCGAATTCTGAATCTTGAACCACCCTGTATATGTTACAATTAAATGTCAGTAGATAGTGAATCGAAATCCGAGATAGGGTCATGTGAGCCGCTTTGACCAATGATGAATAGTTTCGACACAAGCAAATCATAAAGTTGAAAAATCTCGATTTTCAACACCCTATAGCTCTGTAATCATTGCCGCTAGATCTCAAGTGTGATGCATTGATGAAATCAGCTCTTTAGGGAGAATCTGAAAATGCAATGAAAAACAGGGTGTTCCGTTTGAAATAACAAAATATGTTGCTACATATTATTTAGAACGTTGTCCTCCACGAAAATGTAGCTGACGTGTCTTAGATTTTTTTAATAATCCGGTTTTGGCGACCTATACAGAGCCTCTGTTTCGTTTTAAAATGGTCACCCTGTATCAGAACAACAAAGATTTGACCTTTTGGGGTATTTGGATATCATATATGGGTATTATACTGTATCATTTCAATGTTTTCCAAGTTCTACAATTGACATCCGTTCATTAAATTTTTATATCAATAAAATACGACATAAATTATTTTTTATCACCCTATATATACTCAGGCTTGAACTACCAACATTCAGGCTATATAGGCATTATAGGCAATGTCATAAAACCCACAACAGTATAATTATTATTGAATATTTCGTTTATGGCTTGATATATATATAAGAGAAACTCACAAAGCGGCAATAAGAGGGTTGCATCCGAGGTTGCATCGTTTGAATCGTTTCATTTATATATATTTCAAACTGGGGAGAATTCCCACTAGACCCATATTTCTTTCATTAAAGAATAAGTTCGAAAAATTGTTACACAATAAAATCAAAGTCTTCGTATTTGGCCTTTGTCCCATTTGTGATTTACTATACACAATTTTTCTTTAAATAAAATGTTTATAGATCGCCATAGTTATTATAGGCAAATACAAGTGGGTGGGTATCCTTATATTCAAATTCCTGTTCATATTTCATCATGATTCAATCACATTTTTCAGGAAGCATTGTATCGACATTCCGATAAATATACATAATGGAGTTCGAGTTATTTTCGAGCCATCAGGATTTTCTCAATTTTTTTTTTCTCGTGATTTTTCAGCAAAGTACGTTTTCTCGGATGAACTTTTATCAAACAATAATTGCAGTTTGTTTTCGATAACTTTCAGATTTCAGATATATATTGTTTGTCTCGACTAAACTGAGATAAGTTTTGCAACGGTGAAAAACGAAATATTTGTTCAGATGATGATATTCACAATGCAGTTTTATCTTTTATCAGAATGCACGATAAAAAACAAATAGAAAAAATGATACTTTACTGGAGTAGTTATTTGATACGGAAAAATATCGAATATACTCGATAACTAAAGATGCCCATATAATATAATAATATCATTACAGTGACAATTGGTGACTGAGAACTGAAACAAAACGTCCAAAGCTAAGTGAAAGTTTGATATTTTTTCTATATACCTTTATTTCTCTTCTTCAAACTTTTTTCAATACAAATTGTCACTGACAAGCTAATGAAATTTTCTTTTAGGATCTCTGATAGGAAAATTCTCGAAACGCAGTGACATTTTGGGGCAAATCATCTGATTTGTCCTTACTACACGTAGGTATATTGAAATAATATTCATATTTTCATTTTATAGAAACGAGGAGAGAAAATCCCAAAAAATCTGGAATAATGAATGTATCACATCCTCGTACAGACAGTATTTAAGATAAGACTTTTTCTCCATGTAAACATGTGCCCTAAAATGCACCCTCTCCGTGCTACAACCCCACTTCAATTCCCAAAAACTGGGTTAACATAATTTTTGAAGCAAAAAATGAGAAAAGTGCCTAAAAAACAGGATCGTGCCGATTTTGAGACGATTTAATTCGTTATGATGAACAAAATTTCAGATATTGTTTTTGGAGGGGGTGCATTTTTATATACATATACATACATATGTGTCCTAAGGAGGACATTTTGAACACAACTGATTCAATATTTTATTTTCCTAACTTCAGCACAAGGATAATGTTAATGTTTCTGAATCTGAATAAATGAATGGGTAATCGATCTCGATAAAATTTATTCCATACCAGCATCAGCTATTAAAGTAGGTGCGGTCAAAAAGGCCTAGCTAAGGGATATTTGAAATAAAATGGAAAATATTCATCCGAATCAAAAAAATGTAGTGTAAATCATAGCCAGAGATCAAGTACTATAAAAAATAAACAGAAGATGGCAACTTCTGCCGTTCACAAGAACGAAATCAAACATTTTGAAAAACTTTTTCATGAGGCCTTATTATACTATGTAAGTATAATAAGGTCTGAGACTTTCACATTCATAAAAAATCGAAATAGGCTCCAAACTTTTGGTAATTGAGATTATTAATTGAAGATTATGCATTGATTATGCTCAGATCTCAGGAATAACGACAAATGTCTTTGTATAGCGCAAAATTATATGAATAAGTTTAATGTTACGAACAAAACTCACGATTGATTCTATCGATTTTTCATTATTTGAGGCGCACGACCGCTCCTTACAATGAATGGCGCCGCTCTGGTGGCAGTGAGCGAACTATGACATCGTGAAAAATTTGAGACGCCATCAATGTATGTTAGCAACCTGCCAGTGTGACGTCGAACGATATGGATTATTTTAACTTTCATTTTCATTGCTTGGGCCTTATTAGCCGACAGGCTTTATTACCCGCACCTACCTTACTCCATTATTTACAAATCAAAATGTTTGAAAAAATCATTTTGTATCTTGAAAACGCATGCTGTTACAACATTTTCTTACTGAGCAAACTCAACTTATTTACAAGTGTTCTACCTTCCCTAGCCAGCAGGTCAGGTTTTTTTGAAACACCCTGTATAGTTGCTCGATATTTTGTCGATAGCTTAGATTATGAGGAACGTGTTGAGAAAGTGAAACACACCGTACACAAGTACCGAGAGCGAGAACTAGGGAATTATCCACATTCTCCATTGCATAGTTTATGGGACCGCTTTTCTCGAACCACAACGAATATTTTATGAGTTCTGTTTCATTTGTAGCTACAACTTTCGACATGTCTCACTGCGAACTGTTCGAATGAATTATTACGAGGCTCTCAGGTGGTCTTCAACATAAAACTCAAATATTTGTAAGAGTAGAATTCACTATTCCTGAAAAAATACGAAATCCAATTGGATTCCATGAACCACACAGAAAAATAAGATTTAAAAAATCATCAACAGAACGGCTTCTATAATGAATTCAACAATACATTATTTAATTGTAACAAAGCTTCAATTTCTTTCTTTATCAATCACATAAACACGTCGAAGAATATAAAAAATATTTTCTGTTAGTGAGGGTTTTTGATTAAATATTATCATCTCTATGATTTTTTTTATTAAAATTGCCAAGATATCGATATTTCATATACAGCTGCAAATATTTCTATGTTAGACGCAGTAATTATTTTGAAAACATATTTTGTATATTTATGTAACGAAGTTCTTTTCTAGGTAAAGACGGGATAGGAAATAAATTGATATATTTTACATTTTTCATGTTAAACGGGAGCAGATTCGTTCCCGATTTGTCCAGAGATGAGAAAAAATTCGATATTTTTTCAATTTATGTATATATTTCTCTTCTTCAAACATTTTTCAAACGCAGTGACATTTTGGGGCAAATCATTTGATCCTATTGTCAATTATTGTGTGTTTTAGTAAATATTTAATCAGGTGCTTATTCTACATTATGAATATTTTATTACCATTTATTTGTTGCGCTCGAGTACCTGAGTTTTGTGTTTTGTTAGTTTATCAGTGTTGGTTTTGTTTTTGTCCAATCCATGGAAAAATCAAAAGAAATATTTCTTCAATTGGCACTATTAAAATTTTGGCGATTATGGTGCATTTTTGGAAAATTTATATTTATATATTATGTATCATTTTGAAGGGAAAGAAATAAGGAACTTAATGAGCTTATAAAGTACAGGGTGTTCTATTTAAAAAATCATAAGTTTGAGTCGTTTCTTCAAAACCATACCCCGGAAAAAAAAAGTGTGATCCAATGGATTCAACGTAAAATTCTCTATGAAATGAGATTTTTATTTGATAATTTTGCTGAGACATTTCGTAGATATAGAGGAGCACGAAAAAGTATAAATTTTTTAAATCGCCCCGTATCTCATAAACGGAAGCAGGTATGCAAAATCTGATTAGACCATCTTGAGTTTCACAAAAAAGTGTTACAGGACCGCGAAAATCGCAAAGTTCCATCTTCCAAAGATTAATCAATGAATAATAATTATCACCAAAACTCAGATAAGAAATTCCACATCCCCACATATTATGTTGACACAATCTCCTGACCTCGGCACCCTTAATCTACCCCGATTTCCAAGTTAATACACCCCAGAACCGACATGGTATACACCCTCAAAACAAACAGACTGGCCAAACTGTTTATTTACCCTGTGCACCCAGTTCTAGGATCGTGCCGAGCATTGCATAAATAAATAATCAGAGACTAATTCAGGAATCACATACAGGGCGATCCACACGTGACGGTCCCAAAACATAACAAATGACGAATATCCGTGAGCAGATTTCCAACATACAAATTTTCATTCCTCTGTATAGTTCATGAAAATTCACAAGCACATACATGTTCTTTATATTTTCGTGCGATCATCAGAGATCAGAAAAAATCGAGAAGATCCACCATTTTCATGACGTACCATGTACCTAGAACATCCATGTGGGTACGCACACCTAAAAACGCCAGCCGTTTTACACTAGAACAGCGTTACAAGATTTACTGACAAATCAAATGATTCGGGAGATTTTGCACCGATACGGCCAGTTTTAGAATACTGTTCTCATGTATGGGGTTCAGAGAAGAGCCATTCGTTTGGTGGGTGATGCCGTACTCACTTCCTCTTTGACCTCATTAGAACACCGTATAAAAGTCGGCGACCTTTCACTTTCCTATAGATACTTCCAGGATGAATGTTCCTCAGAAATTTCGACGTTAACCTTGGAATATGTCGAACAACAATCTACCAAAACTCTCTCGTCTATAGAACGGCGAAGCTTTGGAATTCTTTGCCAATGAAAGAATTCGAAAGAACTTATAACCTCCAAAAATTGAAAAAAAAATTTAACACCTATACCTTCTCTCACTCTCCTCCTTAGGTACACACGATGTTCCCCGAATATTATAGGAATTTCCTTTCGTGCACTCCAAGAGATAAAAAAACTAGTTCAGCAATGGTATACCTAAAATGACGTATTCAACCAATAATAGTGGAATGGAAATTAGATTATTTCTTAAAATCATTTTCCGAATACATGATACAATGAGAATTATAGGCAAAACATAAATTAATAATTATTGACGATTCTGAAATTGATACCAAATAACAATGATACTAAAAGCTCATTTTAGGGGTTGATCATATTTTGATTCGAATTTCTGTTGAAATGTTGAAGATATTTCAATTTCTCCAAGAAATTGATAACTTGAGTCTGGCAACAATGGTTGTGAACCTGATTTACACCATACTGAAATGACATCAGATTGTAGAAAAATTATTTCTGAGGCTATTATATGCATCTTGTTTGCATTTTTGTCGACGTGGTTTTTCAACTGAGTTGGTTTTTGAGGTTAGGCCATACTGACAGCTTTTTTCTTTTTCTCATTTTCAGGTATGAAGGAAGTAATTCGAGAAACTTATCTTAGGCAAATACTCCCGAATATCACTATATCTATACGTAGTACGTCGTAGTCTGATCCATTAATAATAATGGTAAATTGCTGTATTTTGAAAATTAAAATTATATTTCAATTATTTTACGACTTTCTGAAAGATGACTGTGGTAATGTTTTTGGGATTGAGATCTTAGATTAGGACGATTCACGCATGACGGTCCGAAAACGTAAAATGGCAAATATCCGAGCGATGTGGCCGATCCGGCAACGCCGCACCAAAAGAGAAACCGAATTAATTCACGGGGTGGGCAAAGAATGCTGCTTCGGCCATCCACCCTCGATCTCGAGTCGTCCGTCTCTTTCTCCCACGCGAGTCTCAACACCAGTGTTGCCAATCTGAGAACTGTCAATGTCATTTCATGGCCAAATTCCAGTCAGAATAGCACATAAAAACACATTTCAGCAATTCTATTTTATTTTGTAAATTTTGCTCGACCCCTACGTATTTTTGCCTTTGCCTGAAAAACACGGCATGTCTCCCTTCGAGGTTGGGGGTATTGATACTTTTTTTTATCCCCGTGTATGAGTTTTCATAGTGGAATATTCAGGTTGGTTGGTGACTGAAAAGACTCATGTGAAGTTTTTTCAAACTCTTTTTTCTTGAGTGCTGACTAGATTTGATGAAGTTCTAGAGTTCCTGACTGAAATTTTGTATAGTTCCAGCAAATCGTAGATGTAAATGGAAAAGTGCGATGCAAAGTTGATTCCAAAGAACAGAACAGTTCTGATGAGAGTTCTGAGTAGCGCTCGACGAGTTCTTCAAAATAGTCCAATTGTGTTTTGGTGACAATAATAAGAGTAATATGAGGAAGAAGACATCTTTTCTCGTTTCTATAAACTAAAATTATGAGTACCATTTCAATATAAATGTAATGATAACAAATCAGATGATTGCATTCAAAAGTTTTCCCATCAGAGAGCCCAAAAATTTCAATCGATTGTCAGTGACACATTGTTTTGAAAAATGTTTGCAAAAGAGAAATATAAATATATCGAGAACAAAAGCATATTCGTTTCCTAAAAGTGCAAAGATTAATAAAAATTTGATAATTTTTTGCTAGATGTATCTCATGATTAACAGTAATGATTAATAACGTGAACATGATACCATGACAATAAATTGAGCAGGCAACACGAAATAGCGAATGAATTATGATAAGAAAAAAAAATTGAACTAGTAGGTATATTCAATCCCATAAAATATCTAATAGACACGAATTTCAACAAAATACAGGTAACTTATGATTTCACACATACTACTCGCTGAATTTCAAGTCTTAGACACTGCAGAACAAGCTGCAGAATGCTGATGCTTGAATTTCCCGAAGTACAGGAAATTTCTATTCGATCGGCAACACCGCTCGCCACGAACTTTTCATCTCTCATTCGAGATGCCTTTTATAATGCGAACCTTTTTTCCCACGAACACTTTTTGTGCATTCTCTCGTCTCGAAAAAAAGCACCTCTCTCCTTCTGGGCCATCTATGGTCTGGTCTGACTGTCCTTGTCTCTAGACATTCCACCAGACATGCTGGTGAGTCGGTCAAAGCCAGTGAAGTACTCATCAAGAGGGGTGGGTATGGGTACATTCTAGAAATCTAGCCCTTCACTGCATGATTTTTTATTTTTGCGTGAAAAGAAATACACTCACCGACAAAAAAAACCGGCCACCAAAAATTTTTGTCAAATTGTTCACCCTGTAACTTTTCTATTGTTTGTCCGATTTTGGTGAAATTCCGACCAAATCGTATATTCATGTTTTGCAATGTTAGCCTGATGTTAGTTTCTAAGAAAAGCTGATATTGATCATTATACAGAGAGTAGCAAATACTTCTTAATACCTTGTGGCAAAGGTTAGTGGTTTAACTAAGCTTCATCATGTTTTGGATCGAAATGTGATCCCATCTCAACATATTTGTGTTCCATTCGTGTCGAAACCACTTTTCAAGAGAAGATACAAGTGTTTTAAAAGAGTATGGGTTTTTTAAATCTGTATTCAACAATAATTCAGAACCATTCTCTAACCTTCCGCTTCATTATGTTCAAAGTGTGATCCTCTTTCGTACCTTCTTCATACAACGGTTCTTGATTCACGTTCAAGATATTGACGTGAATCAAAATTGATTTTGTTAAGAAGAGATCACACTTCCATCCGAAGCATACAGGGCGATGAGAAGTATAGGATGAAAAGGTAACTTTGGTTTTTCCCGTGTATAATGATGAGGTCATCAGCTTCTCAGGAAAAATAATATTCAGGCCAACAAGGATGAAAAAAGTTACAGGCTGAACGATTTGGGCAAATTTGTTGGTGTTCCTTCTAAGGGGATCATTTATGTGGGAAAAATAATCGAAAAAATTATTCCATCAATTTTCATTTTCATTTTCGAATAAAACCTGGTGTTGTGTTTTCACAACATTATGCAACAAATCATTTCTACGAAACTATCTTTGTATGGTACCCCTCTGGAAAATATAGGCATCTGCACAATGTTGTAAGGAAACAACAAAAACAATCATCAATCACGTCATCACTTCGATGAGATTTTTTTGTCACGTATAATATACATATCTGCAATTGGCTTACCATATTCGACTTATGTTTATCTTTGCCCATAAACTGTTTTTTTTTGCATCATCGTCACCTCACGTAACCCTTTGAACTGTTAGTTATGCATCATTTATAACTAAGAACAGCTGGCCCAATTTATATTTCATTTTTTAGATTTCTCTTAGTCCGGAATAGGGAAATAAGTATTAGAATTCGTGAAAATGAGTAAATTCAAGATTATAATCCGAACAAAGATGGAGAAACTCAAAATCATTACCACAGTTCATAAAATGAACGAAAATGGCAGATGAAGAGAGAAAAACAACTACTTTCCTGGCTATATGCCACGCAGAACATTAAAATACATCCTCCCGAATACAGCTGCAAGTGATTCTTTCCTAAATGCTGAGCTGTGCTTGTACATACCATTCAAAATTGGTATATGGGGGTTTTCGGGGTCAGAGATTATTATTCCTTCGTGAAAAATAGGAAATTCAAGATGGCGGATCCCATATAGCGGACGAGTATTGAAATTAGAATTATACTCTATTCAAAATTGGTATCTGAGGGGAATTTCGGGGTCGGAGAGTATGACTCTTCCGTCAAAATTTGAAAATTCGAGATGACGGAACCAATATGGCGAACGAGTTCTGTAATTATGATCCCATTCTATTCGATATTGGGATCTGAGGGTTTTCGGGGTAGGAGAATGGACGTGTACACCTTAGTAGAACTTTCAACTCGAACCATGTTTATAATAATCCTCTTATACATAAATAATGATTGACGACATAATTCGATCGAAAAATTAACTGGAATATTTTATTTTTGGGCATAAATAATAGTACCTTCTGAAAACGGAGCCTCTAATGACGTAGCAACCTCATCTCGCCATAGTTAAAAGAAAATACCAAACACCCGACGGAGACTGAGGCAACTGATATATTAAGTCTTTCAACTGTGATCTCGTGCTAATTCACTATGTCAGAAATCATGTATCATTCATCTCTGTCTGGAATTGTCTTGTTTCAGTATTAGGGTTTTGACGTCACATCATCGCCTCGTTTTCAGAGGTCCGAAAAATCGGGGATTTCAATAATTTTTTATTAAACGTAGGGAGCTCACAGCAAGAAACGGTTTGCGGTGGTGAGCTAGTTTGGGTGAGTTCTATCGAATTATGAAATA